ACATTATAATAATGGCCGCGAGTTTGCGTCAGATCGAAATCATCAGATTATTGAATGAGAGCTTTTTTTTGTTGCACTCAACACCCCCTTAGAAAATCTGACGCGCTCGATTAAATGTTTTTTCTTTTCACTTTCAACCCTTACGTACAACCACCCACATCATGCAAACGATCAGATTAACATACCAACATTATTAAAAATACGTAGGACATTGATGCTATCAATATCTGACACGCTCGAGTATGTCTATGCAACAGTATTTTTTTACATATTTAAAAATCTATAAACGCTTCCCCTACCGATAAAAAGGTATATATTATATAACATTTATTTCTTCTTATCATTTAAGGTTTGCAACCTAATATGTCTCAATGACGCTAGAGTAAATCCCCATTTTACATCGTGGGCTCCCCTGCTATTACAACATTTTACATGATTTACTCGTACAATCAATAGTTCATTTTTTTGATGTATGAACTCTTCTTTCAATTGAGTTAATAGTTACTTATGCAATTTGAAAATTATTAAAAACTGCGTGTTCACATAATCCGTCACGATAATGTACGCTACTTTCGAAAGATCCACTTGTGGAAAAATTGTCCTGAAATTTATTCTGTGCATTGAAAAATATGTCTCTTTATTCAAAAGTTTCAGTATATTTTTCGAATTAAATCAATAGAGGACAACTACCTAGAAATGAAACTGAAACTCGTATCTCAGACTTCTCTCTGCTCTCAGTAAAGCCAATTTGTGCATCATCTTGTCTCATCTAGGCTTTTCTAATTGCGATGTAAGAGGCCATCACATCTTGAAACTCATTCCTCCTCAAAAAACTACAGTGGCTTGATCTATGAACTTTGTTCTCTTTCTCTAACTTTATCTACATTGGTGGAATGGAGATTTTCTGTTCTGAGCTGAGCTGAGCTGAGCCTTAACAAGGTGACTCCAATTGTTGCTGAAATAGAATCCATCCATTAGCGTCTTCACTTTTCACCTCATGAACCTTCTGAACAGTCATTTCGTCTGTTCTAATCCCATTACTGCTTTGAAGAAGTTCGGAGACATTTATCTTCTTTGAGAAAACCGATGCCTTGGTTTTTGTGGCATTGAATTGAACCTGGTTACTTTCACCCCAATTCGAAATCACTTCTAGATTCTCATTAAGATATGCAACCTCCTGCTGCCGGTGAAGATGCGCCTCCATAGCCGATGTCCTGGAATCCAAATGAAATGTCGTCAGCAAAGCAATATATTGGATTCTTAGTTTTTCCAATAAGTCGTTGATATACAAATAAAAAGTGAGTTGGAGACAATATGGATCCCTGGAGTACACCAGCGTTTATGGTGACAGTATTCGAGAGATATCATCGACGGCCAATTGCAGGGAACGTTCTTTCAGGAAGCTGAAGAGCCATAGACAAAAATGATTCAACAAGCCATAGCATTGAAGTTTGGCCAGCAAACCCTCATGCCACACACGGTCAAAGGCCTTAAAAATATCAAGCGCAACAGCTCTTGATTCTCCATGTTTCTCGATGCGTTATTACAAATATGGGTGACATATGGTAGAAGGTCGCCTCGTGAACTTTGTTTCTGAAAGCCATATTAATGATCGCTCAAGATGTTGAAGCCTTCCAAATATTTGAGGATATGGTGGTTTACGACTTTCTTCATGATTTTTGGTAGCACTGATAGCAAAGCGACTAGTCTATAATGATTTAGAATATTTTTCTTGCCCTTTTTGGGGATAGGCTGAATACGAGCAATCTTCCGTCAAGAAAGAAAACCCCCTTTCTTATAACACAGGTTAAAAAGTCTGCAAAATACTGGTGCGAGTTCATTTACGCACGTTTTAAGTACGATAACGGGCACTTCATCAAAGCCAGACGCCTTGTTGATGTTGAGCTGTTTCAAAATTAGCCTTACTATACACTGTCGAGAAGTAATTTCCGGCATTGTGGATTCTAGTGTGGAAATAGGTGGTACCTTTTCCAGAAAATCGACTGTGTAGTGGGACGCAAATTGTTCAGCTAGTAGATTTGCTTTTTCTATCGCTGTTGCAATTGAACCATCGGCTTGTGTTAGTGGTGGAATTGTGGATTTTGTAATGAGAAGTTCTTTGCTTTCATTTATCCTAAGTTTGCAGCTGTTGCGAGCATTAACAAACATAGTTTGGTTTTCGGCACTTGCGCCACTGCCGAGATTTTTAGAGGCGGCAGCTTGCTCGCAATATTTGTTGAACAAAGGTTCGCCATTAGAAGGTCGTTCATTGAAAATGAACGTGGATATGCATCCATGGATGATAGAATAACTTTCGTGACTTCAAAAGCACACATTGATGGGTCTTTAGAGCTGAAACAAACATCTCGCCAGGAGAGATTTCGGAAATGGTCTTGAAGATCATCACTCAGCTGATCTGTAATGCCAAACTTTGCGCGGCTTAGATTGTTCCATAACATTCATCGGTAATTCACTCAACACTGAAATGAGTTTGTGGTCAGAAGATCCCAATGGAGACCTTACGGTGACTGTAAATTTCTGGATTGGTTGTTAGGTATAGATCCAGAAGACTAGCATATTCTCCATCACGGTCACGAAACCAGATTGACTGAGTTTGTGGTCAGAAGATCCCAATGGAGACCTTACGGTGACTGTAAATTTCTGGATTGGTTGTTAGGTATAGATCCAGAAGACTAGCATATCCTCCATCACGGTCACGAATCCTGATTGACTCATTCATAATCTGAGAAAGTCCGCTGCTTATTGCAAAAGCTTCAGTTTCGCGACATTGTTCGTCGTTGATATTTGAAAATTTGAGTCATCAGATATTGTGGACATTGAAGTCACCGAATATGGAAGTTTTGGCACTGGGATGATTGATTTACAGTGGTGTTTGCAAGTGAAGAAAATAGTGCTCCACATTATGTATCACCAGGTGGATCCCTAGAAGAAGTGGTTTCCTTTAGCCTTGAGCTAATCAGCCCTTTGGTTTGTATTTAACCTATCACTTCATTTCCGTGATATATTAGTTGATCAAGTTTCTATTGCTAGAATTCTTTCTCCATACGACTTCTCAAAATTCCATAGAATATTTCCGATTCAAAGAAATGAGTATTGGCTTCCTTATTCCTTTGTAAGCTTGCACACACATCGACATTGATTTCCCTGTCAGTTCTATGGGAAGGTTTTGCAGTTCCAGATCTTTTCTAGAACTTTCACTGCTGCTTGTCTGTATAATGAAATAATCCGAGCGCATATTCAAAATAAGTAAAACTTCCGCAGGTTTCAATTCAGCGAATTAGAGATATGCTCATAGCTATTGATATGTATGAAATTTTGTCGCCCTTTTCATATTGATTCTTGAATTTCCATGTGACTCGTATACAAAATGGTCTCGATGTAGTGGCGTCAGTGTTTCTTTCGGAATGAATTATGACTGATCAAAAAACTCTATAGACAAATGGAAAGTCTGTATAAGTATTTCAAAAATCGGATAAATTTTCTAGACGATTTGAGTAATTTTATATGACTGAAAAATTCAAAACGAACACATTTCATTTTATACAATTTTGCAACTCTGTGTAAAAAGTTCAATAAAAATAATCGTAAAATGCGTCTGTTGGGTGGCTGGTTATCACTTCAAACTCCTCCTCAGAATCTTTCGTTGTAGATTGAATCTGTGAATGAGGTCCTCTTCACAAATTCAAGTAACAAATATATACCAAAAACTTTTCCTCGAAAAAATATCACATTCCAACAATTATCAGTGTCTTGAAGTTTCTGATAAAAACACTGTCATTTCAAGTAAAGTACACTCATATTGGTACCGTTTAGGTTCTGTTGACTTTGCTAGCTATTTATTCTTGCTGTCACTTGTGAACTTTTCCACGCGGCGCCTGACTGCAAACCTCAGTTAATTTTAGATCAGTAATTGCGTAATTTGAATAATGACGAATATTTTCTATTTCAGGACGCACAACAAATACAAATAAGAAAACAACAAGAACTCTCTGAATACCAAATTCTATTGACCGAAATAGAAGCGTGGCTTGAAACCGTTAAGACAACCATCTCAACTTACAAGTTGACGGACGAAACGTCGATAGAAAACCACATTCGACACTGCGAAACACTCAACAAGGAATTATCGGAGAAAGAGAAAAAATTGAAGGATCTGTCAAGAATCTGTCGGGAGTTCGAAAAATACCCAGACTTGCATGGTTTGGTGATTGCCCTACTTGAACAACTCAGGATACTCACGGAAATATTTGAAGAACAGAAAACTATCATCACTACAAGGATATCTGTCTGTAATAAACAGTTGGAGGAAATACGCGCCAAGCCTCCTACTCCAGATTTATCCCTGGAGAATACCCTGGATTCAACTTCTATGCCCATAGAAGAAATTCCTGTCCACGCCGACGTCAAGCACGTGACTCAAGAGTTCCTTGCGAGAGAAGCAGTGGCTAAAGCGAGCGCCACCATCGAAACGCAAACCGGTAGAAGTTTGAGCTCCCCCGTGGAAGAACCAGTCACTAAAGACTTCACAGTTACTTATAATGAACCTGTAGACGCGCAAATTCAAACACAAATGTCGCAGCCTTCGAGTGAGGCTGAGCAAGCTCAGCATAAACAAACCATAACCATATCCAAACGCACTAGTGGAGGACAAGAAACCATCCATATCGCAACCAAACCAATGATACCCGACCCACAACCTGTCGTTGAAGAACCAGACGACGTGTTGGTCGAGGCTAACTACAGAAAGCGACCTGAATCAGAAACCGGGCTAACGGAGCTCAACATAACAAATGTGGGCAGTAACCAGCCTTTTGAGACGGTATTCGTCGAACCAGATGAAACTACTACTGAAGTTATAGTCGACGCCGACGGCACTAAGAGAATAATCGTCAAGAAGCTGCATAGAACTGTGGTGAGGCATCAACAGTCCTCCCAGCAGCAGCAATTCTCCACCCTAAGCACTCTAACGGAGGGAGATGTTCCTATCAGTCAATCTTTCTCCCAAATAACCCTGCAAGGACAGCAGAGCGCCACTACCGTCGCTAAGGGTGACGGCAGTCGAGCAACTCTAACAAGCCACCAATACGGAGGAAAAGTTATTTCGGGAGCACCAGGAGGAGAAATCGATGTTCATGAATATCAAACCGAACCAGAAACTCACTTTTCCGTCGTTGGGCCCACGTTGAAGCCTGAAGAAGTCGAGGTGCAGGGCATCAAGCTACACGAAGGCGATATCACTTTCATAAACGACGAAAACAATCAGTTGATCCCTGCGGGCCAATCCCATATCGAGGGCAATGCTATACACACCTCTAGCTCCAGCGTACGCGCAGTCGTCCAACAAGTCACGAGGAGGATCATAAGAAAGACTCGAAGGATAATACGCAGAACGGTTATAATTGACGGCAAAGAACACGTTACAGAGGAAGTCGTTGAAGAACCGGAAGAAGTTGAAGTAACAGAGGAAGGAATACCTAGGGTGAGCATCAATGTGACCAGGACTGAAAACGGAAAAGTAGTAACGGAACAGCAGTTCGGGGAGGAACCTATAACAGTACATCCAGACGTCTCAGTTACTCAAAAAGTAACATCTGTCGTGCTAGATTCTGACGGAAGACCCGTTGAGAAAGTCCCGGAAACTATCAAGATAGTTACCCAGCCAGAAGAGAGGTATGTTGTAGCACTCCAACCTGAAATTGCACCCCAAGTCACAGAACCTGTTGAGGTAGTTAGCGAAGGAAGTAAAAAGTCTTCCGGAAGTATTATAGCCGATTTCATTAACAACGAGAAGCTTGCTATTAGTCTTATTGAGAGTAGTGAAGTTGCTGAAGCACCTAGAGTTGATGCTGCACACCCAGATGTTGTAATGGAAGGTGAAATCGCCCAAGATAACGGCTTGAAAGAATCAATAAAACAAATGATTTCTGTTGAAATAGGTGCACCCCATCCTACTGAAGTCGATGTCAAACGTACCGAAACACCATCCACTAAAGAGGTACCTGCATCGGAATCTACAGAGCGTCCAGTAATAAAATTTACTTCTGATTCTGCTGTTACGGTTTCGGAAATCGACATAGAATCTCCACAACGCTCAGTAGATTCCACCACTTTCACAATTGAAAAGCACTCATTAGTAGCGGAACCGCACTTACCTGAAACAAAAATTGATATACAACCCACCGAAGCTGTTATAGAAACATTATTTTCAAGAGTAGATGAAGCTGAAACTGTCAAAGATGATTCAGGATCAGAAATTAAAAAGATAACAGAAACAAAAATTTCTTCTGTTCAGCCTGTTATCGGAGATTCGCAAGAAACGTCGAAAAAACCCAAGGAACTCGAGCATCAAGAAACACCAACTGAAGATCATACCATCATCAGCAAAACTCCAGAATTTGAAGAAACCGTGGTGACGGAAACATTCAAAACTGAACAGCCTTCATCACCAGAAGTTGGGAAAGAAACAACTGAGTCTGTGATAGTACAGGCTACCATAACAGGAACTCTAGGAGTTGAAGAAACTCCACTAGTTACATCTGTCAGTGAAAAGCCTACACGAAAAACTCCAGAAAATGAGTACATTGAAGGTGGAATTGAAGGAACTACAGTAGTCCTAACATCTATCACCGAAAAGCCTGCATCGAAAACTCCCGAAACTGCTGTGAATGAAAAACCTCCAGTAGATAATGCTGAAGAAATAATTGTGGTACCACAAACCGTTACCTCAAAAACTCCCGATATTGAAAAAAGTGCCAAACCAAGAATACCTGGAACTGGAAAATCTGAAATCGCTGAAAAACCATCGTCAGCAGATATTGGCAAAGAAGAAATCATTGTCCCACCGACCATCATCAGAAAAACTCCAGAAACTGACGAAATTAAGAGAGAGGAAACTGTGATAGAGACATCTATTGTTAAACAAGTTTCTCTTCCTGAAGTGAAACAAACAATGATGAATATTGAAAAAGTTGGTGTCGAGGGTATAAATGCCAATGTTATAAAAGAAAAAATTCCCTCTTTGCTTTCACTAACGCATGACTTCATTTCGTCAGAAAAAAGACACTCTCCAGGATTCATACGAGAAAAACAAACTGATACCGACTCTGCTGTAACACAAAAGGAAGACGACTCGGAAACTACAGAGGTCTCTGAACTACCCAAATCACAAACACTTCCTGAAGTTAAACATGAAGAAATATCTGATCCAAATGAAGAAATGAAAATTGAGGTTGAGAAAAAAGTTCCCTCTCCAGAAGTGGCTCCAATGCAGATTACGGAAGATACAAGGAATAGTATTTCACAGACTCAAGTAGTATCTGAATCGAAACTAACCTTAGAACCAATTCAGATGAGTAGTGAAACTGTAGAAATAGTAGATGAACCAAATCTTGAATCAAAGGAAATCACAACACACACTACTATCTCAACACCTGTTTCTAAAGTCACAGAAATTATTGAATCAGAAGTTGCGAAAACACCGTCATTTAAAGAAATGACAATTCAAGAAACAGAACTAGTAACTTCAGTGGCATCCCTTCCTTCTGGAAACGTGGAAATGTTTTTGTCAATCGAAGAGCAACGACCTCATATTACTATTTTATCGCAATCTTCAAAGAAAGTATATTCAGAACCTGAAAAGGTTACGGCGCAATTCAATATGACAGATTTTCTGGAAAGTGAGAGAAAAGCTACTAGTCCATTTTCGAAAACTATTGAGGACTTTGGAACTGAAATAGAAACAGTGGAAAAGGCGAAGGAAACTTTTGAGGAAAAAATCGAAGAGCAATCTCCGGATGAAAGTATCAAATCAAAAGAACCATCTCCAATTCAAATCCCTGAATCTATAGTTGATGATGAAAAAATAGTTCAGTCCTCTCCAAAAGAAGAAATCGTTTTCACGGAAATTCTGAAGCCAAGAGATGCTGGTCAAGAAGTAAACATAGTTCTGTCACTGGAAGAAAAGTATGATGATGCTACAATCGCCACTCCTAAATTATCTGTAGCAATGAAAATCGAGGAAGATATAGATCATGTCGCTCCCGCTGAAATTCTGCGAAAAGATATCCATGTCCAGCTACCAACAATAATGTCTGAGAAAATTGAAACCACAACAGTCACTGTTTCTTCACTTGAACCCAAACTCTCGGTAGATCATAAAGAAACAAAAACTCCAAGTGATATCGATCACGGAGGCCGTGGAAGTAAGAAAAAGAAAAAGCATAAAGAAATGAAATCTCCAACCCCAGTATTGAAAGAAACACAAGAAGAAATAGTCAAAGAAAATCTCGATGCCTCGGCAGTAGAAGAGAAATTAGCATTAAAGGTAGATGTTGTGGAACAAAAACCAGACAAACCTGAAGATCCGGTAATAGATAAAATGCCAGAGGACAACGTTAATATTGAAAAAAAGACTCCAGAAAAACAAGAAGATTCTATAGTTGAGGAAGAGTCGGACAAAGAGAATATGGTAGATGGAAAACCGGAATCCGTGATAACATCACTGGCTGAGTCAACTGACATATCGGTTCCTGAAGATTCCTTGCGATCCGAAACTCCAAAACCTACGGTGGTTATATTTGAATCTGTTACAGAGTCTGAGGAGGATATTTCTCAAGGCAAAGATACTGGTTATGAAGCGGATAAAACGACAGTTGATGAAAGCTTAGCCGATGAAGATGATGCGGAGAAGAAAAAGCGTCGCAAAAAGAAAAGGAGGCAAAAAGTCAAAGTGAAAGAATCTGAGGAATCCAACGTGCCTAAGTCTGCGTATGAATCATCACCTGTCGGACATTCTGTTCCCCTAACAGATGAAGAAGTGCCGAAACGAATGGAAGATAAGCCGGAAGAGACTAAAAAATCGAAAAAACGAAAGAATAAAGGCAAACGGAAGCAATCTGAGAGCGAGTTAGAATCTGAGAACACAATTTTCGAAGCGCGGGATGAAGAAATTGTTTCCCCCAATGAGTCCTATCATACGATTTCTACTCCCTCGGAGCTTGGCACTGTTAAAATAATCGAAGAATGTTCTCTGAACAGACCTTACAGTGAATCACCTCGAAATTTAACGTCGGAAATTGTCACAACTGTCCCGGTGTTGGAAGCTATTGTCACCCAAGAAACAATTTCACAAACTTCTCCTTTGAAGGAAGTCACTTCACAATTTTTGGAACAGGAAGTACGTTGCATTGAAAAATCGCCAGAACCTATTCCTGAAATTTCAAAAGAACAAGTTTCGGTTCAGACTTCTCCTGAGATACCAAAGGAAACTGCTGAAATATCTATGCAAACGATTGAAGAACCTAAACCTGTCGAAGTCACTAAACCAGAAATTCAAGAGAGCTCGACCCAAATTGAAATTTCCACAACTGAAATAGTTACTCAGACCACACCTGTAGCCAAATCTCCTGAAGATAAAATCTTCAGAGATACCATCGAAACTTCTATCCAAACGGTTTCACCAATCCGAACTGAAGTGACGGAGGAATATGCACAAACTGTCACACCAGAAGTGGTTGAGTTGTCAAGAATAGACTCGGCTATGCAAACGAAAGTAGAGAGCCACGAAGAGTATGCTCAAACAAAATCACCTGAGAAGATCGTTACGTCTGAAATAGCCTCACAAATACAACCAGATTTGACAGAGTGCGCTCTGCAAACTTCGCCTGAACCTTCAGCTCCTCCGTTAGAAGAATTTGAGGAATTCACAAGATTAATTGAACCGATGAAGAAGGTAGAAACTGCTGAAATAGTAACACAAACCAGTCCTGTTGTCATCACAGGCGTTGGCGATTTATATACACCAAGTCCCACTCCATCTCCAAGTGTATCTGAACAATATGAAATACACGTTGAAGCTTTAGTAACGGTTCCACCTGATGGATCAGAGTCCATGAGTGAAAAGATTGACTCGGAGCCTCTTGAAATTTCCAAAGAAGTTCGTGAGTCACAAATTCTTGTACGATCAGAATCAGAAACTCCAGTAGTCACAGCAGAGTGGAAAACTGACACAGAATCTGACGGGTCTCCTGAAGAATTCGACGTGCAAGTGTCTGTTGGAGGAGTTACAGTCGATAAACATTCCTTCGTTACTAGTTTCATCGATTCAGAGAGGAACGATGACATTCCTGCCAAATCGAAAAGGAAACGTCACAAGAAATCCAAAAATGTGACCAAGGATTCTGAACCAAGAATCGAGAAAAATCTGTTGGCGGAATTCCAAAGGCAAAATACCGTACAGGATACTCTGGATCCGAAAGTTTTGTATTCTGATGTTGCCAGGAGGTCCAGGTCATCTTCTCCTGTTCGACAAGGTGAAACTATCAATGAAAGTCATAAAAAAGTACCAAACGTAGCAGATGGAACACAATTAGATGATCAAAGTACATCCATCGGTTCACCTACAAAATCAGATGAAACGACAGTTGAAGAGAAGCTTCCACAGAAATCTATACTAACAGAAAGAATAAAAGTTACTGCTGGAGTTCCAGTGAAAGATATAACAGAAGTCAAAACTGTTATTACAGAACAACGTATCGCAAAGAAAGCAGAAGATAAAGTAGATGAAGATGCAATATCAAAAGTACCGGAAAATCACCAAACTGAGGTTGTATCGAAAGTACTAACAGATTTGGACAGAAATAAAATCAAAAAAATAACTGAAACCAAAAAACCTAAAGAATTTGATCTGGAAGAACAAACAACAACTGTAAATATTTCTATAACAGTTCCTCCGGAATCTGAAACCACCAGTCCAGAATTGATGATAATTTCCAAAGATATCCTAACCACCAGAGGAGAATCCACTGAACCTGCAACTTTCACTGTAGACTCCATTTTGACTGAGGCCAAACTGACAAACCCGGACTTAGTTCCGAAATCCCACGTCGAAGAAGCGTTATTGGTAAAATCTGGTGTAACTCGTGAACCGAACAGAATCGTGTCAACAGTGGAGTTTTTGGAAACAGAAAAAATCCAATCGGAGCTGGATGATCGCAAAACTGTAGTCATCTCTGACAAACCTATGGAAACACCTTTACAAGCTTCAGAACAAACTCCAAAGATTCACACTCAAAGTCAGCCGGAAGAACGAAAACCGAAACAAGGTGCGACAAAACCAAAAACCAAGGGTAGACACGTTTCTTCTGTCACTATTGAAGAAGTAGAGTCTCCAACTATCATTCCCGATACCCCTCTGACACCTGCATCAGATGCTGGACCTCTTTCGCCACCTGATTACTCTACTACCGTTTGGAAAGAACCCTCGCACAAAGATGTAACGCAAACGTTTATCCATGCCGAATCACAAAACCCAGTAGCTCTCAAAGAAGTGAATATAAAATGGAATCAGACGCTTGCACTGGAAAGGTTCAAGAACCTACAAAACGCTAAAAAGACAACGCATCTGAGTGATGTACTATACTTAGCAACGTTGAACGAAATAATTACTGACGAAACAGTCGAACAGCGTAACTACAACATCCAAGAAAATCTTGTCGTTTTGCAGAATGCAGTCGAAAAGAGGGACGTGGTTGTAATCCAACAGACCATCATCACCACAGTCGAAACTATCACCACCTGGTTAGAAACCATTGAATACAGGATATACGTCAACAGACAACAAACGTCCGAAGGTCCTTCCAGAGAAAGGGTACAAGAGTTCAACGATCTCCGACAAGAAATTGCTAATATCGAAACTAAAGTGGAACAGCTGCAGACCGTGATGAGTCAAACTGATAACATCTACAACGAAGACGACAGGCAACGCATGAAGAGCTACATCGACTCTTTGCAACAACAAGTCAGAGTAATCGAAGAAGTTACTCAAGAAAATGAACAACTAGCAGCAGGAGATCTGAGAAGATGGAACGAATTCATTAACGGAGTGACTAATGTCAGTGGATTGGTGAGGGAGCTGAAGAGGCAACTCAGCGAATTGAAAGACTCAGATGCATCTCCTCAAACAAAATTGAGTGAGCTGGATCAACTAGAAATCTGTAACAGAGGACACATGATGAAGGTAGCGAATCTAGTAGCATCCGCTAAGAGCCTGATGCGAGATTTCCCGACGAAAGAAATACCTAGAGACGTTTACGTCAGCAATGAGTTGACCAAACAGATTGAGCAGCAGATCGCTATAGAAAGGGAGAAGGCTTACCAATTCCTGTCTCTCGCCGATGACTACGAACAAACTCTGAAAGAATTTAGTCAGATAATACTAATTGCGGAAGCTCTTGTTGAAAGCCCTATTACTGTTCGCAACCTAGAGCATCTAGAAGATGAAATGCAGAATCACCGGAAATTTTTTGTGAATCTTAGTCATTGTCGAGCAATTTTAGAGTCCCTAGAGGAAAATCTAGATTCTGAAACGAGAGCTATTCACACCCAGCTACATCAAAACCTATATGAAAGAGCTAAAGTTATTTTGGATAAATCAACCGGTCGATTCCAGCTAATGTCTTTAGCAGCCTCTAGATGGACGGTCCTAGAACAAAGCACTAGGGAAGAAATGCGCTGGTTACAAGTAGCCCAACAGAGAGTGCCTGACCTTAACAATGTCACTTCTTCAGACTATGATAGATTCATAGATCTTTTCAACTCCCTTGCAGCCGACATAGATTATCACCATGCCAAACTGAGTCATCTCAACTGCGTGGCTGAGAAATTGCAAGAGCTCGTGTACTGTTCCGGGCTAGAGCAAGCCTATGCAGAATCCTTAGAAATTATCCAGAAGCTTGAGGACGACGTTCAGCACAACCTTGAACGTTTATTAGCATTCAGAGATACTTGGATGGCTTACAATATGTTGAGCGATAGAGTGGAATGTTGGCTCAAGGGCGCAGAAATGCAGTTGATGAAAATAGAAGTACCGTCTGGTCCCAGAGGACATCTGAGGCAATTCTGGGAACTCAAAGCACAACATGAGGTCCATAATATCGTCAGAATGAATGCATCGAATGCTCTGGAGAAATCCCTACAAATCGTACCTGTAAGCGACGAAATGTTCCAGCGCAGGAGCAACTCTGAACTGAATACACAGTGGCAAGAGGTGTCAAAGAGAATCAGCGACATCGAAGGTTCTATCTTAGACACGATATCTGCCACTGATGTCCCTGTCAACGAAAAACTCGCCTTCTTGGAACAGGAACTTCAGGACCTCAACACAGACGTGCGCGACTTGAAGGGAATCATAAAAACCGAGGAGGAACTGAACTTGTACGTGGAACGATTACAGATAATGTCCACTAGACTCGAGACGATTCAGAACGAGCTGAGCAGACTAGGTTTGCTGTCCGCGAATGAATCCGACAAGGTCGGTTCTCTCTTGGCACTGTCGAAGCAACTGGAAATCATTATCGTGGAAGAACTAGAAGGCGGAATCCTGGTAAAAGAACGTCTGCAGGCCATCCAAAAAGGCCTCGATCGAGTACGCAGGAAGCACTCGGATCTAAACAAAGATCTCGACCAATGCGAAAGCGCTGAGAAACTAGGAAGCGACTCCATTGAACGAGCTGTACATGAGTGCTGCGAGGTGGGAGAAGAACTGGTAACCCTTTGGCAAGACCTGATGAGCATCCGCCAGATGCTCCACACGCTTCCCATGAGGTTGAAGGTCACCGTTTCTCCTGTGACCATCGAAAAGGACATCTCCAAATTGCAAGACGATCACACTGCTCTGGAGAAGAAATGCGGTCAAATTCTGGCGTTGCTCAGGAGCCGCTTGGCTTTGTGGCAGAGATTCGAACGTCAGTTGGAGATGGTGCAGCAGAGCGTCCAAGAAGCGGATTTCATGGTGGAGTTACTGACCGTTCAAGGGAAGGTAGATTACGAGAGGTTGAGAAAGGCAACAGAGAGGTTAGAGGTGAGTACGTATTATATTTACTGTTTTATTATTATTGGAAGGGTTGTCACTATGGTTTGATCTTGAAGTTGCACAACGTAAAATAATTTTGAATATCTTCAACAAAGGCTTGGATAGGAATTCAGTTGAAATCTGGGAGGAAAAATGAGAAGCATTTTATATGTGATGTTCAAGATGTTAATGATGAAATTTTTTTCGAAAGCATGCTCTTTCTCGATAAAACTCCCGTTCTTATATCCTTTTTTTCATTTTACCAGTTGTGAAAGAAGATCGGCGAGATTTTAGGTATACATACTCATGTATGTATGTTATTCACTATGGAAAATAAAGTTTTTGAAGATCGAATCTTCAGGTGTAGTTTGTGAAATTATTGATTAATCTTGTAGACTATTTAGCCAATATTCCGAATATACATTTCGCGTTTGCTCTTTTTTCTTCAAATATTCAGGCTATATTAGTTGAGAATTGTAAATAAAACAAGATTTTGAAGTTAGGGTTATTATTGAAAGAACCAGTTTAACTAAGCTCGATTGATTCACAACGAGATAACTGAGTGCAATGATTGTTATTGACCACCGCTCAAAAATGTTTGAGCGATTCTAGTTTTGAATATTAACGTAACCAGAATGTAAGCTGACTAACGGTTTTTATGAGTTAACTCGAAATAGTGTAATTTTTTCGAACACTTCAACATAAACTTACTATTTCAATTATAAATTCGGTAGGTTAGGTATGGTTAGGTTAGGTTTGAAGTGAGTGGGTCAATTCGACCCTTCACCGCAACCCGCAAGGGTTTATTGTGGCTCACACCTATTCACACTCGACTAAATGAACCCAGTTTCTTAACGAAGCTGATTAGTTTGTATGGTGAGTGGTCTTTCAGGTCAGATGGTAAGAGCACGGCTCTGCCGAACTCTAAAAACCTGATTTGGTCCCCTGCGGGGCAAGTACAAAGTATATGCTCTGCTGTTTCATCATTTTCCAAACAGAGGCGACACACACTGTCTTCCGACAGTCCGAGTCTCTGCATACGATGAATAAAATGACTGTGACCTGTAAGAAGGCATGTTAGACATCGTACTTCATCCCTACTGTAGTTCAACAACTGTTTGGTATCAAGCTTCGAAGGGTGAGTAAACGCCTTGGAGTGAGCCAATCCTGGAAGATTCTGCTAGAAGTTCATAAATCTTCTTGCCATCCAGGTGATCAATGTTTGTTTGGCAAAGCCTAAAGCGATACCAATGAGAGGTTCTGATCCGATGAAGCTGCTTGCAGCACCCTCCTTTGCAAGGGAATCAGCAGCTTCATTGCCTTCCAGGCCAGTATAAATTCGGTAAGTGCGATTTCTTGCAATTCGGCCATTTGTGTGGCAAAACTAAATGGTTTCCGCAGTATTATTACTACTTTTTGAGCTACCGGTTCAATTGCAATGAGCTTATTTAGAAATCTTCATCATTGTATATAGTAATAACTCCATTATTATTAATGCAATGAAAAAAAATCCTAATCAAAGTCAGTTCAGACAAGACGAAGCACAATGAATTTTTTTAAATACCTTCAGAATGAAGCAAGGATCATCCGAAGTTTATTCTTTAGAATGAAAATATAAAAGACAACTACCTCCTTAAAAAAATCAGAATTGTATTCAAACATATCATTCATCGGTATATTACATGTCGAAATGAAAGCTGGATGTTATGAACGAATCGTAATGCTTTCTCATTCCTGAAAAATCAAACGTTCTTTTCACACATAATTCTCAAATTGAGGAAATCTACTCCTACAAACTACAATGTATATGCAATTGTTAAAACTAGTATCCCCTTAATGAACCAAGTTGCAACAAAGCTGCAACATTTGTATCCAAAGTTTTGATAGTGAAACCTTGTAAAAACCACTTAATTAAGTCATAACTTTGTGTATTCATATTCTCCTATTTATTTTTTCGTATTTTGTCGTCTGGACTATTTTTGGATTCAAGTGGGTCTGAAATAATTTCAGCCGGAGCTTGTATATATATCCCTCAGATTTAATAATAATCGACTTAAGATCTTTTCATCGCCTCGGAAGTGTGTTCTGTCAAGAATTCAAGTACCTATTAGATTGAAATAATAGGCACGTTTTTGAGATCGACGGTTTTTGTATGAGAATATATTTTTATTAAAAAAAAGTTCAGATCTTATACCTTTTACTTAAATTAAGTTTGTCTTGTGAATCTAAGGTTTTCTATCGTGAAGCAGCTTTCTCCTTCTTTAAAAAACATTGTGAACTGTGGTTTATAACAAAAAATACTGGATGGTTGGCAATTTCAAAAGTATATTTTTAGAACTTGGTTTTGATTTCCATTTTTTTCAGAAAAGTAAATGTATGCCACACACATAATTTTACTTCGTTTTTGTTTCGTTTCTGAAAGTGTTTTCCAAGTTTACAATGTTCAAATTCAGCAATCAGAATATCAATCAAAATCATTATAGATGTACTCACTAGATAAACAATGTCCATTTAGAGACAACTGAACAAAAAAAGCTGTATAACAAATACCTTGGCTACAAACAGTGCAACAAAGAGATAAAGACAACCCTTCGAGTCTTAAGCGAATTCAAGGCACTGTGACATTTGATGGGTTAGTTATAATTTGAATTCACTTTGTGATTATGATTGTTTGAGATTATTGTGAAATTTCCATACTTATCTCTAATGATTTGCCAATAATCGAGAAAGAATTATTATTTACTCACCTGGAAAAATCTCAACGTCAAACATCCTTAACGGAGATGGTAATATTAGACATTTGACTATACAGGGTGTCAATTTGTCTAGAATAATATGACAAACATCAAACAAAGAACCTTACAGACCAATACTGGGCACCGGATTCTTGGAATGGGTTGTCTTCAAAATATTAGGAAAAATATGATAATGTTTTCTAAAATTTGGAAGAAATAGAGAAGTCAGCCGGCTCCCAAAAAGTAAAAAATGGAATAAAAAGTTTCTATTGTGGACAAAATTTAATTCCAATCATGGCATCGACAAAAGACTCCATTCATGAATATCGAAGATAAGCGAGGCTCTCCAATACGGACCGTTGTAAAACCAAGCTTAGACATCGATCGCCGAACAAAATTCGTCGTCTGTCTTTCACTGTAAAGCATCTAGTAGAAACTAGAGCAAAAAAAAACGAAGCATTCATGATTACAACACCAAAAATCGTTGTTTCGACCTGGCGTAGATACAATCAGTCATGGTGTATACTTTGTGTAGGCTTTCACGGCCAGTGTCTTAACAAATTGTTCGATGTTTCCGGGTTTATACGCCCTGGTCTACAAGTTTTTGTAGACGTTTCGTCTACTAATGCCACGAATATAAAAGATAAACGGGGTACATCAAGGCGGTCCGTTGCAAAGCTCAGCTTCGACATCGGTCCTCCAACAAGATTGGTTCTCTGTATGTTCTTGTGATATACTGTTTGGAACCTTTGGTGTAGTAATGAATATTACTGGAGTTTTTTCCCAACACCAAATCGTTATTCTTACACCTCGACACGTGTTTCGATCACCAAGTGATCATCTTCAAGAGGAAGATAAAACTTAGTTATTAGTTTTATCTTCCTCTTGAAGATGATCACTTGGTGATCGAAACACGTGTCGAGGTGTAAAAATAACGATTTGGTGTTGGGAAAAAACTCCAGTAATATTTATCTCTGTATGTTACTGCAAAGTATCTAGTCGGAACCAGAGTTCAGAAACAAAGCATTCATGGTCAAATACCAGACCTGCGATAGATCCCATCATTGATGCTAGGTTGGACCACAAGTGCATTGCTGAACTGTCCTCAAAGGACAACTTTGAGAAACTGCAATCCTCTGAAATTTCCACTGCGAAGTAACTAGTTAAGATCAGTACTCGAAAACAAAGCATTCCTGATCCAACACCAAACAACATTGTTTCCTTCTGCCATAGGTCTTGGCAGTGATGCCAGCTACAACGAATGTTAACTGCCCTTGAAGAAGTCTAGGTATGAGTAAGGGCACCTAGCACCACTAATAACACCTATGGTAGGTCGGAATAGCGTGGTCTGGTATTGGATTACGAATGGATCTCTACCTCAACATGCTTTGGCATGCAGAAACTGAAACTGGTGCAAATGGTAATTTACTTTCACAAACAGAACGGTGCTCTACCTCATTTCCAATATACTTACGTTGGTTCAACAAAAAATCCAAAAGACGAATCGGAAACAGGGGAGCGATTGGAATACTTCCGAAATCACCGGATATACCTCTCTTAGACTTCTGTTTCTAGGGCTATTATAAATATGTTGTTCATAAAAAACCTCAGTATGCTGAAGTGAAAAAAATTTGAACCAATATGTTCGGTAAAGAACTATGATTAATTCATGCGGTACTTGGTATTTTACCAATTTTGTAGTTTTCATTTATTTATATGAATTTGAAGGATTTCGGAAATGGACTTTATTGAAGTTTAGAACATTTGACCATGACCATGTTTGTTTAGAAATTGTCCTTTTCATAGATGTTTGACAAAGACTGCGAAACGTACTATTGCCAGGTCTAGGTTTATTTGGTAAGCAACCTCCAGTAGAATAATAAACGTCTTGATATCAATCCCGTATAACCTTTTGATGTATTTGTTTTGGAAAAGCATCGTCAAAGGTCGTTCGATTCTTCATCGTGGGAATTTCCAACGCGCTCTTTGGAGCAAAGATGACCTGCCTCAATGCCTTTTAACAAAAGAAAACAATAAACTGAACAGCCACAACAACTTCTTTTCGTAAATTCGGAATGACATTGGAATAATCGTCGAAAAAGCAGCGATAAGGAACGCTAATGATAAATCAGTAAATCACGTTCAGTTGTTTGCGGGAACTGGTGCGGATCGCTTCGCGATTGTTTCGTTGAGATTCCGCGGAAGTTTGATTCATTGGAAATAATTAAACGGTTGTTAGTTGATTTTTTGAATGTGACCGGAAGTTTGACAGAC